TCTGGATTTAACAGGAAGCCAATGAAGATAGGCCAGTATAGGAGAAATATGCTCTCTCTTTTTCTAGTCGATGTCAGTACACTTGCTGCAGCATTTTGGATTAACTGAACACTTTCCAGGGAGTTTTTAGGACATCCTGATAATAATGAATTACAGTAGTACTAAAAGTAATAATTGCAGTAGTTTTTGCATGTAATAGGTAGTAAATCATAATTTTGCACATGAACACACATGCTATAAAACAGACAAATATAGAGTTTACTAAATGTTTTTTTCGTTTTTTTCCTTTTATTGTTTGTTTTTTTAAATCAGGCAGCAGGAGGAAGCTTTTCTTGGCAACATGTAAAATAATGTTTATTGGTACAAACTCAAACCTCAAACACTCAAAGGACCTGTGATGAACAGTTGAGAGAGGCCTGGTTAACGTGCTGTAGTAAGTGAGACTTAGTTATAGATAGTTATGCCAGTTGGACCATATCAGCAAAATCTTTCTTCATACTACGACTGGATGTAAATATTACATCCAGGTCGGAAATCTAGGCTTCTTTTATTTACAGCTTGTGAAACTAAAATTAATGTTCATGCAGCATAGCTTCAGTTTATAACAAGCTGACATTTAGACTGGAGGGACAGAATTAATCAACAGAAAGTCCACTCCAAGACCAGCTTAGCAGTTGGAACCAGAGTAAATACCAGCTGGTTCTACCAGTCCCTGATGCTGTTTGCTTTAACAGCGGGGGGGAAAATGGCATAATCAAGCATACCAGTACAAATATACAATATATATTTTCAAAAAGCTGGGGAGGACCTAAACTAATCACTGAAATTAAAACACAGCACAGAGTGTTCTTTCCCATTACCATGTCCCATTACCAAGTAGAAGTCGCCCACGCTTTAAAAACAAAGCATGAATAGTGCTGGAGTACTAACAGCTCTGTTCTGTTGTGTCCTTTTGTTTAGACACTGATGCTGCGCTCAAATCATAATTGATTTTAAAGCTGAAAGAATAAAACCTGTTCTTCACCTCTAAACTCTCATGATGTTGCAGACGGATCCTGATAAAGCAAGTCCTGCTTTGAATATGTGTGCATCTGTGTGGGTGGGTGTTTCACTGACCTTTGAAGAGACTATTCTGTTGTCAGGAAATCTTTGCTGTATAAAAGCTTCAGTTCCTGGAGGAGGCTCCTTATGTCCAATGTAAATTGTCCGGCTATCGACCCAGTTCTCCTCCCCGACACACTATGGGAGGAAACACACAGAACAAGTTTGACTATCCTGAAGCATACATGATGGTTTCATGTAGTATCAGTTTACATTGTTTTAGTTTAGACAGTATGCAGTATGCTGACAGACGTCTGTGAGGACTAGTGTGTACG